GCAATCAGTCTCTTAATTTCAGAAATGTACTTGTGTAACTGTGAAGGTAGTCTGTCATGACTGAATTGATCATCCTATATGGTATATATGTTTGCAAAAAATATAAGAAATGAAATAGAATACTTTATCATTTCCCAATCATTTGTTTTTCCTAAGAGGATCCGCTTGTTTTGCTTTCTTACGCTTTACAGGTATTTGTAGTCAATTTCAGGTTGTGAATGAGGCCTTCAGTAAATGATTTTGTGGAGGTTTTATGTAGGTTGCTGAAGTGTTTGACGGTACTACTTCTAAGGTGGATGTTCCATATAGGTGACTATGGCAGATGTTTTGCAGGAGGCTGGAAAGGAGGCAGCATTGAAATCATTATCTTCTATGTGGGATATGCACTCTTTACTCTCTGCAGAAGATATGCATCCATCATATTACAGGTGCTATATTTTATTTTCTTAATCTATGCATTGTGCATTCATATAGCAGTTCCTAAACTCTGAACTTGCTAATTTCATTCATCTGAATAAATTAAAAACAAGATTTTTAACACAATTTCAGCACATCCTTGATGCCCTTACCCAACAAATTATTTTTTTCAGTTTGTTGCTTTCCTCTAAATTCCTCTACTATATGTCCAAATGTTAACTCATGTCTCCTCTATTCTCCTTTAAATGTCCTCCATGTCTGAGTTCTTTGATCTTGTTTAAAGGGACACTGTAGTCACTATAAGCGTTTCATCTCTTTGAATTGGTTATAGTGCCTGGAGTACCCTGGCACTGTCCCTCCATTCAGTGTTGCACCATGTTCGTGCAGTGCATAAGAGTCCCTGGCCACCCACAGTCCGGCCCCTTCAGTATGTGTAGCTAAAGCAGAGATTACACACTTCCTTGTTGTCATACCCATTCATACCATCAGTTGGAACTCTGACAGGCTAAAAGCAGTCAGCTGACACCCTCAGCCAATCACAGCTGCCCATTGCTGCTCAGGCTAATACTTCCTTATTAGCCAAAGCAACACAGAGGGGATGGATTGCCAGGGACTCTTGTTTAGCATTAAAACATTAAAACTTTAAAAACTGTTTAATGCTGATAGAAATGATGGAACCAGAGGACTCCAGACACTATAACCAGTTTAATGAGATGAAGCAGATACAGTGCCTACGGTGTCCCTTTAAAGTATGTCTGAACAAGAGCAAAGTGTAACTAGCAAACCTTGGATGCCATACCTCCTTTTAATTGTTGGTTAGTAACATGAATATGATTTAATTGGTACAATTTAATTTAAAAACCATGGTTATTGATTTGTGTTTGTTTTTGCCATCTTGTACACATCTTGTGTTAGTGGATTTGAGTCCAATGTGATTTTATCCAACTTGGGAGCCTTTCTTTACAAAAAAGTCTAGATATACACATATTTCTAACTGAAATCATGCTATCATAAAATTGATTTCTTAATTAGAAGTTTAACTTTTTTTCATACACATCTGTTATTTTGACAGCTATTAAAGCTACCCAATTTTATTTCAAATCTGTACTGTATATGTTTCTGTATGTAATATCTATATTTCTAGGTCACAAATTGTGTGTTTCCATGTGTCACTTTGTATGAATTAAATCAATAAAATACAGTTATATCAAGTTACATATCTGTTGTTTTATTATGAGTATCTTCTCCAGAAATAGTTTGGCTTACTACAACAATACCCTCTAAAACAAAGCATGTCTATATTCATACATTCATTCTGTTTGTCTAAACACATTATCTTAAACTGCTGCAATCTTTATGGAAGCTAGTATATTAAAGTCACATTTCTCATGGTTTTGTATTTGGCCAAAGGCAACCCTATTTGTGTAATGGCCATTCTATGAATCTAAATAAGCAGTTTGACATGTTGCTTTCCCATAGTTCCCAAAGTACTATAAGTCCCAAAGTATTGTCATTGATCATGAACTAAACTATATCTTTAAAGGCTGGTTTAAAGTTAATTTATCTATTATTATTTAATAGGTAAATGTGTTTTTATTAAAATATGATTTTAAGAAATAAAATCCATATTTAGTTAATGTAATGTATACTTGTCTAAGGCACTTGTATAATTTAATAAATGTTTAATACATATATATGTACAGTTTGTTTCTGTGCCTAAGGGTTATTTTGTTTATTTTATTCATTCAAAATTGACATTTTGGCACACAAATAAGAATATTTAGTAATTGTTACAATATTTTTCAGGCAAAACTTTAAAATAAATTAAATAAGGAACACTTGTTATCAGAGATAAAATGCCTTTTAAAAGATACTTGGTAAGTTTTTATTTTTACTAAAATAAGTGAAGATAATGGCTTAATATGCCATCTCAAAAAGATAGAAGTTAAATAAACTAGTTATGGGAAAAACAAATATGTATGTGTATATGATTTATATTTCAAGGTTCCAGCACTCGATGTTCCCGGTCTTTTTGTGCTCCAGTGCACAATCTCCAACCAAAATATATATACCTAGTAGAGAGCACTCTGGAGTCTTGATAAAGTAAATTCAAATTGCTGCTTTATTAAGCAAACACAGTGATAAACACAATAGTCAACGTTTCAGTCTATGCAGACTTTTTTCAAGTCTGCATAGACTGAAACGTCGACTATTGTGTTTATCACTGTGTTTGCGTAATAAAGCAGCAGTTTGAATTTACTTTATCAAGACTCCAGAGTGCTCTCTACTGTGTGTGTGTGTGTGTGTGTGTGTGTGTATATGTGTATGTGTGTGTGTATATATATATATATATATATATATAATCTATATCTCTATCTATCCTTGTTTGAAGTGCACTCACAGGACTCAGAATTATTTCAAATCATGCTGTTTATTCAAAGCATCAAATTTCCAGTAAATGGTGTCAACGTTTCAGTCCTCCAGGTACTTTTCTCAAGACAATTTGATAGTCTGACTCATTACATATAAATACACATTGTGAAGAGTTGATTGGCGGGTGAAAGGATGAAAGCGAGGTTCAATGAATCATATGGAATGTATATCACATGTGCAATCATGAATTATAAACAGTAATAGCTGTTGCTAAAGTGAATCATTCATTAAATACGTGATATAGAGTGAGCTACTCAAAGCAAATCAAAAAAAGAAAAATTGTATCTATACATATATACAACATATTTACAACACAAAAACAATGTTATTAACCCCATATAGAGTACACATGAGGGCTCAGAGTGATAGGTGCAGAATGCATGACTCATGCTCTAGTACAGGCATAGGCAACCTTCAGCACTGCAGATGTTTTGGACTGCACCTCCCATGATGCTTTTCCAGCATTATGGGTATAAGAGCACTATGGGGGTTGTAGTCCACAACATCTGGAGTGCCGAAGGTTGCCTAGCCCTGCTCTAGTGTGTGTGTGTGTGTGTGTGTGTGTGTGTGTGTGTATGTATATGTATATATATATAAATTATAGAAAAAATAGACTTTCTGTGATTGAGATTTTAACACCCACACTCCGGGTCCTAAACGTGTAACAGCATCATGGATATAGCTCCAAACCAGGGTAAACTATAATGTAACAACACAGAATATGACACTAGCACTAGAAAATTGCTAGAATTATGCATCAGTGTTATGCAATAGTGTGTAAGTTAAAAATCCACGATTAATTATAAAAATTAATGGTAGACACGCACAATAGAATGTCGAAAAGATGAGTGTAGAAAATTAACTTGTAGTAAGATGTCTCTACAGTATTATTCAATTATTATATATGGATTACAATAAGGGTAAATCTACTAAGTGTTACATATTGTGTAGAACAAAATCTATACTCTGGATAACATATCAATCAGTTATCCCTGGGGGCTCAGAGTGATAGGTGCAGAATGCATAACACATGCTATAGTGTACAAAATCACAATCACATTAAGTCCATAAGCACCTACATTCCGGGTCCTAAACATGTTACAGCATCAGGGATGTGGCTCAAAAACAGGGGAAACCATAATGTAGCAACACAGAATATGACACTGACACTAGAAACTTATTAGAATATTGCATTAGAGTTATGCAATAACGTGTCAGTTACGTATCCACGATTACTTATAACAATGGATGCTAGACACACACAATGGAATGCCGAAAAGATGGATGTAGGCAATTAACTTGTAGTAAAGAGATAAGTAATATAGCCTCTCCCATAGGGGGCAGGCAATTACACACAAGAGGATACATGTCTCTAAAACATTGTTCAATCACTATATACAGATAACAAATAGGGTACATCTACTATATGTCACATATTGTATTGGACAAAATCTATGCTCTGGATAACATATCAATAAGTTATCTTCTTGGCAGGAAATAATAAAGTGGATTCTTCTCATTTAATCCCTGAGGAGACATTGTGTCCAATGTATAAATTCAAAAAGCCTCTCTCTGTAGGAGTCGCATGCCACAATTGCCACCCCTGGAAGGTTCAGGGACGTGGTCTATCCCCATGAACCTAAGCGAAGGTAGTGGATACCCTATCTCCAGAAAGTGCCGAGCTACTGGGGTACTCGCACATCTGTTTTGTAGTGCCACCCATATGGCTGACCGATGTCCTCTCATTCTTTCCCAGAGATCATTAGATATTTTGCCCACATACACCAATCCACAAGGGCACACGATCTGATAAACCACAAATGTAGTAGTACAAGTAATTCTATATCTTATTTTAAACTTCTTGCCAGATCTTGAGTGAAAGAACTCTTTACCAGGTGACATGAAATTACAAGCTGTACATTTTAGACATCTGAAACAACCAGGATTTGCGGATCCAGATGTCTCATTGATATTAGCAAAGTGATCTGTATGGACCAAAACATTTCTAAGGCTTTTGCCCCTTCTGTAGCTCATTATTGGGGTCTGTTGGAAGATAGCTGGTAAAGATGTGTCTTTTGCAAGTGTTTTCCAATTATCACGAATAATGGAAGCAATCTTGTGTGATTCAGTGTGTAATGCCTGTGGGAAAATTAGACATCTCCTATCTCCGTCCGACCCATAGGTTCTTCGATCAACTTATATGCCTGCTGTAAAGCTGTAGTTAAAATGGAGTGAGTGTAACCTCTTTCCTGGAATTTTTGATACATCTGTTGTACTTGTTTTGATGCTTTAGTTGAATCAGAGTTATTACGCAACACCCTGAGAAACTGAGAGATAGGCAGAGATTCTTTGAGTCTTCTCGGGTGGAAGCTGGAGGCATGAAGAATAGAATTCCTGTCAATGTCCTTAGAGTATAAGGTATAGCCCAATCTATTTCCTTCAATATAAATTTGAAGATCCAGGAAATCAATCTGTGTTGTACTCCATTGAGAGGGGAGTTTCACTGGGGAGTTTAATGCATTCAATGCAGACATCATGTTAATAAATGATTGGTCATCCCCGTTCCAGATTATTAAAATATCGTTGATGAAACAAAGGTATTTAATGATGTGCTTGCCAAATTTCTTGAGGATATTGTCTTCTTCAAAGGAGTGCATGAATGAGTTGGCATACATGGGACCCATTTGGTGCTCCCATGGACGTGCCTGTTAGTTGGATGTAGTAATTATATTCAAATCGTAAATAGTTCAAAGTTAGAAATAAATGTAAAAGCTCCATAATATATTCAAT